TGGAAGCAACCTAAGTGTCCATCAACAGGTGAATGGATAAAGAAGATGTGGCACATATATACAATGGAACATTACTCAGCCATAAAAAGAAACGAAATTGAGTTATTTGTAGTGAGGTGGATGGACCTAGAGTCTGTCATACAGAGTGAAGTAAGTCAGAAAGAGCAAAACAAATACCGTATGCTAACACATATATATGGAACCTAAAAAAAAAAAAAAAAAGTGGTTCTGAAGAACCTAGGGGCAGGATAGGAATAAAGATGCAGATGTAGAGAATGGACTTGAGGACACAGGGAGGGAGAAGGGTAAGCTGGGGCAAAGTGAGAGAGTGGCATGGACATACACGCACTACCAAATGTAAAATAGATAGCTAGTGGGAAGCAGCCACATAGCACAGGGAGATCAGCTCCATGCTTTGTGACCACCTAGAGGGGTGGGATAGGGAGGGAGGGAGGGATACGCAAGAGGGAGGAGATATGGGGAGATATGTACATGTATAGCTGATTCACTTTGTTACAAAGCAGAAACTAACACCCCATTGTAAAGCAATTATACTCCAATAAAGATGTTAAAAAAAAAATGTGTTCAAAGCCCTCCAGAATATAAGTTCCAACCTTTCTCCCCAACCTCTTTAAATCCACTCCCCCTAGAGAAATGTACACATGCACATTATTTCCCAATACACATTTCACTTATATTCCACAGAACTCTGTTCAACTTATTTTGTCTGTAATCCATAACAGACAAAATTAATTTAGATCAAATGTTTGGGGGAAATTTCCAATTTCCAAAATTATTCCTCATATTGGAATATTGAATATTTTACTTTCTGAAAATATTTGTTTTCCAAACTAAATTCCTATGCAGTTAACTGCTGCTTTTTAAGAGAAAAGAGAGAGTCATAGGATAATTTGTACATTAGAAATAGTAAACGGAAACTCTAAAAATTGGGAGTAATCCTTAGTAATTTAATAAAAGGGATAAATTAAAGATCCTTTTTAAAAATAAGGAGACAATCTACATTATTAAGAGATAAAAATGTTGAGCTGATGACTTCACCACTTTCAAATGCTTAAAGGGCTATTACTGGGAGATTCCTAACTATTATCCTTCATAGGAACAGAGCTAGAGAAAAAAGAAAAAGAAAAAAAAACATATATACTTACCTTGCAATTGGAAAGACTTCACTTTGACACCAAGAAAAGGTTTTTAATGGAAAAACTAAAAATTATAATGGTAATGCTTACTGAGCACCTACCGTGTGTCAGTCTCTGTTTTGAGCCCCATGAGGTAGGTACTATTATTATCACAGATGAACTTGGACTTGAACCCAAGGAGTCCAACACTGTGTTCAGGCTCTTATCCGCTATGGTAAACCACCCCTGTTAAAAGTGGACTCATATTAGAACACCCCTCCCTCCTGAGGAAAGCCATTGCCTTTCCATCAGCAGAGAACTTCAAAATAGGATGGACATTAGTCAGGTGAAATTCATAGTCCTGACACATTTGATGGCATCTTCTGATCCTATTCAAACACCAGTCACTTTCTTACTACTTTTCTTTTTGAAAAAAAGAAAATCTCTTACCTTTATCCATTCTCTGAAATGTCCAACAGGGTACTTTTAAATATTTTGCAACATTACATAAATATCCTCCTGAATAATACAGACAAATGCCCAATGACACATGTCATAGGGAAACATAAGACCCTTTTGTCCCCTTTTTAATCTTTGGGGCTTTGTTTTAATAATTCATGGAGATGTTAACCTTTCAGGTGGATTTGAGAATCCTTTTTATTTAATACAATTTTGTTTGTGTTCTGAAAACCAAGGACATTGAAGTATTTATTCCCTGCTGAATAGGGCATTGTGTACGTGTGTCTTTGTTGTCTCTGAAAATACCTCTTAACCTTCATACATGTCAGGGTTCTAGCATGTGAGCTTGTTACATAATGTTCCCTCTGGAGGAGATCATGTGACGAGCTCTGGCAGGAACGCTACTATCACAATATCCCCATTTTCTTTACCTTCTGGTTCCCCTCACATCATCATTTCCATGATGTTCCTCTGGCGGAGTCTATAGAGAAGGCAAGATGTAATCCATCTTTGTAATAGGAGATAGGACCTGAAATGGCAAGGTTTTCACCTGAGAAATCATGAAGTATCTTAGCGGCAGATCTGGAGCTCCAGTCCACATCTTCTGATTGTACTAGAGACGCAATGGTTTCAACTGGAGAGATTTTGCTACATCTCCCCAGTGTACATTTGGAATTGTCCGGAGACATTTCTGGTTGTCACAAATAGGGTGGGAGGTGGTGCTACTGACATCTAGCTGGGAGAAGCCAGGGACGCTGCTAAACAGCCTACAATGCACAGGACAGCTGCTGGAACAAAGAATTATCCAGCCCAAAATGTCAATGGTGCCACTGTTGAGAAACTCTGTTTTAGAGTAACGAAAATTGGATTTGAACCCTGCTTTGCCTCTTATTTTGTGACCTTGGGAAGTGGCTTTATTTTTCAGAGTCTGCTTTCTCATCTGAAAGAACAACACAACCGCCACCATAAACAAACCAACAAAAACCCCACTTTCCAGGCTGGTTGTGAGAGACCAACTCAAAAGAGCACTAAACAGAGAAGGCTGAGCATACTGTAGGCTCAAGAAACAAAAATCAGGGGCTTCGCTGGTGGCGCAGTGGTTGAGAGTCCGCCTGCCGAGGCAGGGGAGACGGGTTCGTGCCCCGGTCCGGGAAGATCCCACATGCCGCGGAGTGGCTGGGCCTGTGAGCCATGGTCCCTGAGCCTGCGCGTCCGGAGCCTGTGCTCCGCAACGGGAGAGGCCACAGCAGTGAGAGGCCCGCGTACCGCAAAAAAAAAAAAAAAAGAAAGAAAGAAAGAAAGAAAAATCACTGCCCAGCCCATGGAGTTCAGTTATATGACAAGATGGAAGCCAAGAGTGCAAGAAAGACAGTGTCGCTGAGTTGGAAAAGAAGCCTCCCTAGCTTCCTATCCACTTTTGTAGGGTAACGAGCAAAAGAAACGGAGAGGGGCGCAAGAGAACTGAGCAGCATTGAGGGTGTACTAGGAGGGGAACGGAGGAGATGCTGAGACCGGACGTAGAAAGCAGTGGGAGGGCTGTATGGGTGTGAGAGAGTTCAGCAGTGACTTGGAAGTGAATTTGAGAGATATTTAGGAGGAATCAGAAGAACTTGGTGAGCAATTTTAAAAGGGTCATGAGAGAGGCATCTAGGATGAATATGAGATTTCTGACCTGGGTGCTTGGGCGTTAGTGATGCTGTTTAACCACATAAGGAAATCAAAGAGCAGAGCAGATAATACATTGAACTACAGACATATCAAGTTTGAGATGCCTGTAGGATATTTAGATAATAGCCAGGAGGCAGTGAGATCTGGAAGTCTGGGGAGGAGGCTAAGATTTGAGAAACGAGAACCTGAAAGCAGTAGTTGAATCTGTAGGAATGCATGAGGTTTTGCAGGGAGGGCATATGGAGGGAGAAAAGAGCAGAGGACAGAGCTGTTCAGGGCTGGGCAAAGACAACCAAGAAGGTACAATCAAGAGGATCAGAATAACAGAAAGAGCAGGGAGAGTGGTATGGAAATCAAGGCTGAAAGAGTTTCAAAAACACAAGTGCAGGCAACAGTATCAAACACCACAGGAAAATTAAAGGAGATATGAAGCGTCCAGAACACTTGGTAATTGAGAGGTAGTTGAAGTTAAGTGCAATGCTGAGAAGAAAAACTAGACTCAGTGAGTTGATGAGTAAATAATAGTTGAGGAAGTAGAAATAAGGGATAAAGATAGAGGTTGTCAGAAAGAGAAGCTGTGAAGATTCCCCCACTAAAAATGGACAACACTTCAGCACGTTTATACACTGAGAGGAAGGGAGCAGTGTAGGGTGAAGATACAGAATTCAGAGCAGGGGAAATGGGTAGATCAAGAATGGGATTAGAGCTGGAATGATCATGATCATTTTGAGGTGAGAAGAGACCAACCCTCTCCCTCCAAACTGGGTAAAGAAGGTAAGTTGGGCACTGATGTAAGTAGATCTGGAGGGATGAGGGAGCATGAGTTTGAGGGAGTTCATAGTGGAGAGCCTCACTTCTCACTATCAAATTGTAGGCAAGCAGCTGGGATGAGATACGGGACACAGGAGGCGGTAGGGACAGGGAATAACCTTTAGGGATTAGGGACGGGCACTGACAAATTAGAGAAAGTGAGTAGAGACTACAACTTCAATGTGTGGAATCCAAAAATTAATACACAGAAATAGACTCACAGACATAGAAAACAAACTTATGGTTACCAAAAAGGAAAAGGGTGGGAAGGGATAAATTAAGGGTTTGAGATTAACAGACACACACGACCATATATAAAATAGATTAGCAACAAGGATTTACTGTAGAACACAGGGAACTATAGTCAGTATCTTATAATAACCTATAATGGAAAATAACCTGAAATAAACATATATAGGAATCACTTTGCTGTACACCTGAAACTAACACAATATTGTAAATCTACTATACTTCAATAAAAAAAGAACATTAAAAAAAAAGAGAAGCTGGCATGTGAGGGATATCTCAAGGTACCAAGGTCACCTTGGGATTCATATCTAATTCTTTCTAGATCAGCCATAGAACCCAACCATCCTTAGAGAGAAGCCAAAAAGTAGAAGGATTTGTCTGGGAATGGGCTAGTGTGTGTGGGATGACAAACCAAATTCCAAGTTAAACTGGGCATGGGCTCATTTACGTCCTGTGGACCAGCTGTGTCACCTCCTTGTATGAAAGCAAGCATATCCTATGGGATTCTTAGAGACCCCTGAACATCCAGAGTTGTAATAATGCAAAAAGTCAAGTTTATCTTCCATAATTCCATAATCTACAAGTAAGACAGTAGAAATGATCAGTGGAATAGAAGTAAATGAATCATGATGAAACTGTTTTCTTTTGCAGAATATTGCCTTCTTTGGAATCTAAGTCATGAGTTGGACGTTCCTCAGAGACCTCCTGAGTGGAGTAAATAAATACTCCACTGGGATCGGGCGGATCTGGCTGGCGGTCACGTTCATCTTCCGTTTGCTGGTCTACATGGTGGCGGCAGAGCATGTATGGAAAGATGAGCAGAAAGAGTTTGAGTGCAACGTTAGACAGCCTGGTTGTGAAAATGTGTGTTTTGACTACTTCTTCCCCATCTCCCAGGTCAGACTTTGGGCCTTACAACTGATCGTGGTCTCCACGCCTTCACTTCTGGTGGTTCTACATGTAGCCTATCGTGAGGGTAGAGAGAAAAGGCACAGGAAGAAACTCTATGTCAGCCCAGGCACCATGGATGGGGGCCTGTGGTACACTTACCCGATCAGCCTCATTGTTAAAACTGGTTTTGAAATTGGCTTCCTGGTTTTATTTTACAAGCTCTATGGTGGCTTTAGTGTTCCCTATTTTATGAAGTGTGATTTGAAGCCTTGTCCCAACACTGTGGACTGCTTCGTCTCCAAACCCACGGAGAAAACGATCTTCATCCTCTTCTTGGTCATTACCTCATGCCTGTGCGTTGTGTTGAATTTCACTGAACTGAGTTTTTTGGTCCTCAAGTGTTTTGTTAAGTGCTGTCTCCAAAAATACTCTAAAAAACTCAAGTCCTCAGTGTGTGAGTGCCACAACCTCAGATATGTTAAATATGGTGAGATGGGGGCCCCTCCCTTGCTCCAGAAGCACCATTTAGACTCAGCCATGAGCACAGCCCAGGGAGGGGAAACAAAGGTACTCTGTGGCACACAAGAGGCTTAAAGCAAACCCGCATCCCTCTGAAGTAGACATAGGCTTCCTTGGAAAACGAAGGGTGTCAGCCTTAATGTCACTTGGGAGGAATTTTTTAATTTTTCAATATGTGCTAGACAGAGGTCTCATTGTTTGGTGGTAGCGTTCATCCACATGAACCCTACATGAGTTGTGTTTGAATGGTTAATTGCAACTTAGTCTGAAGAAAGCCAACTAACAGCATTCTTCTAAGTGCTTAGATCTACCAACTGGAAAATATAAAAAGTGACACTTCTTTCGAATGTGATGGCCTCCAAACAACAATTGAGGCACTGGCAATCGTTCCAAGTGGCAGCCAACGCTCCACTCACTCAGCCCTACTCAAACTTTGTAGAGTAAGCCTGTGATGAGGGTGGGGTAGCAGCTAACCAGGGGCACACAGAAGCACATTCAGTGAGGGGGTTCAGCCTGGGGAAAACTCCACAGAGCCCAGGACGCTTTGCAGTTTAGGTGTCCCTGGATATAAGTGGACTAGGGGAAAGGGAAGAAAGCCATCATTTACTGGCCTCCAGCTTAAATACAAATGTTACTGGGAGATAATTCCACTTAAGCCTGAACTAGCAGACATTTGCAAGGGTCATTCTAGAGTCATGAGGGAAGGCAGGTCCCACAGAGAGAAGCACATTGGTAGGGAGCAAGGGGAAGACCCAGATAAAGAATATGCCTACCTGATAGTTACTGAACACTTATCTTTAACCACAGAACAATGAAATACTTTGTAAATTTCCATATGTTGGACCTTTATACAATCAGGAATTTACAATGTACTATACAATATGTCATAGTTTGCCTACGATTTGCTAGTACATCTCCTTCTAGATAGTAAAATGTGTACTATGCTGTTACATTGGTTCAAAAAATGTAAAAAGAAGAAAAAGATATGTTTATTATCACTTGATTTGAAAACTATGGCTTTCTTTTACTTTCCTATTTAAAAAAAAATCACAGATATATTCTCCTTGGATTTAATACTCTAACATATGTGCATTTCTCCAGAATAAAAATGAAGTGTTTTTGCGGTGTTACTCGACTGTCATTGATATCGTTACTTGGCTGCACTGGGAATGATTGTTCTGTGAAATAAAACTTGTTCTGACAATTTTAGAATAGGATTTGCAACCCTGCCTGGTAAAGATAGCTCAGAAATCATTCTTCTCCGCTGGGATTTTTTATACAAAATGTAAGTTCATAAAAATGTAATTTTAACTAAAATTATGTCATGTCTTCCACAGCCTGCCCTCTTTAACATAAAATGTCTCACTACAGTTCATGCATAACAAAGGTTATTTGTGTCATCATGTAGCCTCCAGACCATGCCGCCAACAGTGGTCATAATCTGTTTTAAAGACTGTCTGGACAGCAGAGAGGATGTGAACTCTGTGGTCCCCCTCCTCCAGTTTACACCACATGTCACTGCTGGACTCAGGTACTTGTATCCATTGTACTTCACCTTGTGACATGAAAACATGTTTGTGTTTTCACAAAAGCTAGCCTTCACAAATTCAGGTAACCAGGAAGGACTTAAAGGAACGTATATTTTTTTCTACAGTAATAGGTGGTTAGAGAGGTTTAAGGTTTTGGAGGCCCTGATCATGGCATGGAATCTAGAACATAGGGTTTTAGTGCACAGAACTGGAATGGACATCAGGGAATTTTTCAGTCTGAGGATGAATTTGCTGCTGAAACGCCTTTGGGGACCTCAGCCTCTTCACCTCAGTTATGACAACAAGCTCTGCTCAAGCTAAGAGGATTGGATGCATATGTACGTTCTTGCCTTTCCACTTTGCGTACAGACGAGACTTAAAGGTAATGGAGGTAAAGGCCATGCATGAAGTTGTTTAGATAGGAAGGGGAATAATTTTTTTCTTTTTAAAGCTTAATTAATTTACAAAATGAGTTTCCTATATGAACATTCTGGAGGCTGTCTTGGTGTCAGTGAAGACCCAAAGCATTTGATTGAGAGAAACTGGCAGTTAAATTTTGCCATCTTTATTCTTTCTCTTATCAATAAATATTTATGGAGTAATGATTAATAGAAGCAAGACACTGTGTTGTGGATCTTTAGATATAACTCCCACCTCCAGAAAATTTCCACTTCCATTAAGGAGCATGGAGGTGAAGATGGGGTTGGGTATCTCACACCTGTATCCTGTATTTACATCACCTCACTTGACCCCCCTACAAGCTTCTGGTGCTCAGACAGTAACCTTAGAGATGAAGAAAGTGAGACCCGCAAAGGCAGTTTCTTCTTTCAGGGACACACAGCTAGTAAAAGCAGAGTTAACAATCACCATAGGTCTGCCTTAAACTACCTGCTCACCACATCAGGCTTCCCAGATCACTAAACAGATGTCTTTCTAATTTCATTCAAGCCATTCCTGACTTGCAATTATTTTGTTTCCCTTGCCCTCTTCCCCAGAATCTTTCTGGTTACAACTTTGCCCCTGGCCACAGGGTTTCCTCTAATTGGAGCTGGAGGGAATTTTTTTTTCAAGTACTTGGATAGAAGAATGCCAAGCATGCAAGTGGCTATGGTTCCAGTCTTCCCAAGGAAATTAAGCCAACTTTCTTCAGAGAGACAAACTGCAAAGACTAGAGGGGAGGGGAAAAAAGGCAAAGACCTGAGGATGTTTGAATTCTTTGATCCTGCTATCCCTGACACTGGCTCCACCCCTACCCTTTCTGCAGTTTAGTCACATCGAAGATAAATTCCCCATTTTTGTTTAAACTGGTTTAAATTGGGTTTCTGGGCCTTGCAACTAAAAGAGTCCTAATAAAATCATGTTCTTCATTAATTTCTTTCCTGTATAATAGAAAAAAGAGGTATGACTCGTCTCCTGTATTAGCCTTTCCTTCTTAGGCTTCAAGCATCCTAACTTTTACATGTGTGTAGGTGTAGAATGTTTGTGTCAATAGGAGGAAAGACGGGAAAGGATGTCAACACTGGTTACAATAAGAGAAGGAGAAGGAGAGATGAACTTTTTCTTTATAAATCTTTTCATTGTTTCACATGTACTTTTGTTTTTAATTACAAAAAAAATCTCTATATTTCCCAAAGATGCCTTAAACATTTTTTATTTTTTGGCTGCATGGCATGCGGGTTCTTCCCCGGCCACGGATCGAACCCGCGACCCCTGCAGTGGAAGCGCAGAGTCTTAACCACTGGACCGCCAGGGAAGTCCTTAAATTTTTAATAAATAAAATAAAGCAATTGAAAACCCCAAAGTGCCCCATCTCTTTCTAGCTCGCATCTCATCACATGCATGTAACACTTGCCTTAAACATTGATGCCAGTGTATTCCTAGTTTACATTTTATTTAGTCTGTATATTTATTATGACACAGCACAAACGAGAGGGCATTTTGCAGCTCTGTGAAAAACTGGTGAGGAAGGAAAGCAGTGATGGGGCACGTGGAGGTAAAAAATGTCAGCGTTCAATTGAATTTTAATGACAAAAGCCCAAGGGAGAGACCTGCAGCAGCTCTTTCTTTAATATAAAATTGGGTCTTTTCTCACAAAGCAAATCTTCTTTCAGCTGTAAAAGACATCGGTGATTGTGGTGAGTTCTGAGAATTTTCCAGAGACCTATCTTGTTTCCACTGTGCCAGAGAGTTTAACAAACAGCCTTCCTATTCTGAGAAGATGTAGATGATCTTTTAAAATTCTATAATTGTACCCATAAATTCTGTCCAAAAGCAATGGGAAATGAGCTCTGGATGTTACCCAAATAAGCCACCATTCCCATCTACTTACAGGTTAAGTATCGGATCCTTCGCCAGCTACGGAGATTTAATTTTCTATTAAAAGAAAAAAGAAAAAATGTTGTCCAGACAAAAGTGATATATGTAGTTTTTTAAATCTTGTTTTAGCTTTTTTATCTGTAATTTATTTTTACCTTAAAGTCTCTCTCAGACATTAATGTCTCCTGTCAGAGTGGAGATAGGCAGAATGGTTGTGGTATAGAACTGCGGCAGGCTCTGCTTGTCTGTGCAGAGCAACAGGAAGGTGAAGAAGTGGACTCCAGAGTCCTAGCCCTCAGGGAAAGGACTGGGGCAGAGGAGACAGATATTAAGCAGTACAATTTCCACATTCTTGTTATAAAAATGTCATTAACTAAATTGATGATCATCAATCCCCTGTTACTAAAAGTATGACTCACTAGGTTAGCCAAGTGCCTTCAATTAAAAAGCATTGATCTCAAAGGAGAGTAAGTACAGTACCTTGAGACCTTTCTGTAGAAGATTAGCAAACCTGATAAGCCAATCTTCTTAGAGAAGATTGCTCCTAATCACATTAATTTAAAAAATGATGATATTAAATCTACTGACTGTGACCAAGGTCGAGAATCTTGTCTCATTCATCTCTTCACATCCTTGTATTGCCACAGCCTTAGGTCCCTGGTCCCGAGGAGTACAGTGTTTCTGGGGAAAAAAATCTTTGTGTTCCTCTTGCCTCTTCCATCTTTCATCTACCCAATATTTATTCCTCTCCACCTAAAAGAATTCTGATTTTGTTGGGGGTGGCAATGTGCCCAGTTTTAAAAAAAAAAAAAAAAAAAAGCACATTTCCAAGTCTCCTCTGCATGTAGTTAGCAGTGTGTGACAACCTTCTTGTCAAAACAAGATTTTGTGACTGATGCTTTGGGGAGAGTTAAAAAGTGGAGCCGATCTACCTTGCATGCTTTTTGCTCCCCCCATCTCTTCCTGACTGAGACATCATAGCTGGAGCTGCAGTGAACATCTTCTACCATGAGGTGACTCTGAGGATGGAAGCAAGACCTCATGGATGAAGGAGCAGAGAGAAAGCCCCTGGGACATTGACACCATTATGGAATTGCCATTAGCTCTGCACCGCCTGTCTCCATGCTTTTGTTTTTGTTGTTATGTGAAAGAGAACTTAACTCCCACCTGATGTAAGTCATTGATTTGTTAGTCTCTTTCACTTATAGACAAAAACAGTTCCTGACTACATTCATATTACTAATTAGGATGAAGACACAGAAGGCACGCTTCTATCTACTGAAGACAAAAGAAATGACCAGGATATTGAAAGGCAGAAATGAGACGTGTTTAAAGATCTCAATAGACTTTTGTTCAGAACAAGTCAGGTGAGGAACTTCCTTCGTGCTCCAGTGGGTAAGACTCCGCACTCCCAATGCAGATGGCCCAGGTTTGATCCCTGGTCAGGGATCTAGCTCCCACATGCATGCCGAAACTAAGAAGCCCGCATGCTGTAACGAAGAGGCCGCTGCGGCGCAGCCAAAATAAATAAATAAATAAATAAATAAATAAAATATATAAAAAAAGAACAAGTCAGGTGAAATGCAACAAGTAATCATTCTGCATCAAGATTTAAATTTTAATATGAGACCAGGATTGATATTGGTTCATGAGGTAAAGTCCGTGGAGCTTTAGCTATCCATCACCTTAACAAGAACACAGTGTCATATGACGCTAATGAAAGAAAGTTCACTTAATTCTGTTGTACTAGAAGTTCGTGTTCAGTCTATAGGGAATGACTTTCCCAATGCTTGGAAAACAAATAACTTATTTCATGTTCCAAGATTTGAGAACCAGGACCAATGGGTGAACATCAAAGAAATAAAGATTTTTACCTAATATAGAAATGTTCTATTAATTTGAACTGCATCACAATTAAATGATTGCCTGATAAAACAGTGAGACTTTATATTGGCTATATCACTATATAAACCTGATACCACAGAAAGATCTCTGATTAATAGAGAATTGCCTTAAAAAAAAAAAACAAATTTCATGTATTATACAATAACAAGACTCCTCATTACAACAAACAAGTTAGGCAGTTCCAT